TAGTATGAATATTAAGTACACTGTAAATTGTTAGAATAAATTTTATAGATATTCAAAGGCAAACTGTTAAAGTGTGAATCTATTTTGGAGAGCTTGAAGTTGTCATTGGCAGAAGTGGGAAGCTACAGCAAAGTGACGAAGGAAAAAGAGATGACCGATCGCTGCAGCGACAGAACTGGTTGCTGCAGCGAGCGCTGAAAAGCAGCGCTTAACGTGAAGAAGAACGACAGCCGCGGCGATGGATATGGTGGCCGCGGCAAGCGTTTTGGACCGCAAAAAGTTTCGGCTTTATTCTTTTTCCTGTTTTCTAGTATTCTAGTTTTAGAATAACTCTTATTCATAAGAGATTTGGTTGAGTCAAATTAGGGAAGTAGAATTTGATTAGGAATATTAGTTCATAAGAGTTTTGCTTGTATCTAACTAGGAAAGTAGAATCTGTTTTGAAGTAGAAGTAGTATTTCCTTTGTTGTATAAAAGTAGTTAAACATTAATGAAAAATTATGAGAGTTCATTGTTTCCTTCAGTAAAAGTGTTAACGTTATTGCTTCCAATTCCAACAATTGGTATCAAAGCGAAGTTTTCTTAAGGGATCTGTGGAAGGGTTCTTAAGAGGGAGAGCAAATACACTTGAGAGAGAAGAGAATCTGAAAAGAAGATGGCTCCATCATACTCAATGCCACCAATTCCTATATTTACAGGTAATCTCTACCATATTTGGAAGGTGAAGATGCGGGGGTTTCTACAGGCTGCTGATTTGTGGGAAGTCACCAAGACAGGAGGAGACTTTCAAGAACTGCCAGAGGATCCAACGATCGCTCAAATGGAGTTACAAAAGGCAGCAGATAGGAAGAGAGCAAGGGCTCTGTCATACCTGTAATCGGCTGTGAGTGAAGACATCTTTATGAAGATCATTGCCTGCGCTACCGCAAAAGAGATTTGGGATAAGTTGCAGACAGAGTATCAAGGTTCTGAGAAGACAAGGAACATGAAGATAGTCACGTTGAAGCGGCAACTCGATAGTATGAGGATGTCAGAGACGGAAAGTGTATCACAATATTCTGATACGCTAATGAAGATTGTGAATGAAATCAGAATCTTGGGCGAAATTCTTCCAGAGGAGAGGTTAGTCGAAAAAGTTCTGGTGAGTGTGCCAGAAAAGTTCGAGTCCAAGATTTCGTCTCTTGAAGATTCCAGGGATATTGAATCAATGTCAATGGCTAACTTGATAAGTGCTCTTGAAGCACAAGAACAAAGGAGGAAGATGAGGAATGAGAGCGGGTTAGAAGTTGCTTTTCAAACAAAGGTTGTGATCAAAACCAAATTTCAGAGAAATGGGAAAAACTCTGGTAAGGGCAAGGGAGATGGTAAGAAGAAAGGTCAAATCCTTTGTAATTATTGCAAGCAGAATGGTCATGCGGAAGCTGATTGTTATAAAAAGAAGAGAGATTCCTTAAAGACATGCTGGTCCTACAGTAAACCTGGTCACTTGGAGAAAGATTATGATCAAAAGAAGAACCAACATCAAGCACAATCCAGTCAATCACAACAGCAACAAGTAAATTTTGCAGAAGATGAAGATGAAGAAGAGTTATTGTTTACCGCTTTGATGGTAGATGTTCAACAACAAGAAAGCTTTTGGTTTATCGATAGTGGATGCACTCAGCATATGACTGGCAAGGGAGAAATATTCACGCATTTGGAAGACATGAAAGGGATGGTCAAACTTGGCAATGGAGATAGAGTTTCAATCAAGGGAAAGGGCACCATAGCTGTACCAACAACAAAAGGTATTAAATCTATCACTGATGTTCTTTTAGTACCTGACTTAGATCAAAATTTATTGAGTGTGGGTCAATTAATGCAAAAGGGTTTTAGGCTTGAATTTGCTGATAATAAATGTGAGATAAAAGATCCTAGTGGGGTAGAGTTTATGTGTGTGCCTATGAAAAACAGGAGTTTTGTAGTAAATTGGAGCTCTATGGATGTCAAAGCTTTTAGTAGTAGGGAGGAGAATGAGTCATTGTTATGGCATAAACGATTGGGGCACTTCAACCTCAATTCAATCAAAATCGCTGTAGATAAAAATATGGTGAAAGATGTTCCTACTATTGGGGTTTGTAATGAGGTGTGTGAAAGTTTTCAAATAGGGAAGCAACATAGAGTACCTTTTCCAAGTTCAGCAACTTGGAGAGCCAAAAAGAGGTTAGAATTGGTTCACTCAGATTTATGTGGACCAATGAAGACGCCGTCCCTAAATGGAGGTAGATATTTTCTTTTGTTCATTGATGATGCAACAAGGATGACGTGGATATACTTTTTGAAGTTAAAATCTGACGTGTTTGGTGTGTTTAGGAGTTTCAAAGCAATGGTGGAAACCCAAAGTGGAACCTCTTTAAAATGTTTGAGGACTGACAATGGCAAAGAATTTTCTTCTACCGAATTTGACTCTTTTTGTGCAGATAATGGAGTTCAACGTCAATATACAGTGAGCTATTCCCCACAACAAAATGGGGTAGCCGAAAGGAAAAATAGGACTGTCATGGAGATGGCTCGTTGCTTGTTGGCTGAAAAAAAATTGCCTAAGGAGTTTTGGGCTGAAGCTGCGAATACCACAATTTATTTACTAAATAGATTGCCTACAAAAGCTGTAGAGAACAAAACACCTTGTGAAGCTTGGAGTGGAGTAAAACCATCGCTCAAACACATTAGAGTGTTTGGTTGTGTTTGCTACATGGGGATTCCTGAAGTGAAGAGAAGCAAGCTTGATGAGAAAGCAGAAAAGGTACTGTTCATGGGATATAGCAGCCAAGCAAAAGGATACAGGGTGTATAATCCAAATTCGAAGAAGATCTCAGTGAGTAGAGATGTGGTGTTTGACGAAGAAGCATCATGGAGTTGGAAGCAACAAAAGGAGGAGCAAGTTGAAGAGTCCTTAGAGGAAAACATTGAAGAAAATGAAGAGGTGGATGATGTGGGAGTGAGAGGTACTAGATCACTTGATGATATCTATCAAAGATGTAATAGTGCCATGTTAGAACCAACATCGTTTGATGAAGCATGCCTGAGCAAAGGATGGATAAATGCAATGGAAGTAGAGATTGCTATGATTGAAAAAAACAAGACATGGGAGCTTGCTGATGAACCAAAAGAAAAAAAAGTGATTGGTGTGAAATGGGTGTATAGAACTAAGCTGAATCCAGATGGGACGATACAAAAGTTGAAAGCTAGATTAGTTATGAAGGGTTATTCGCAAATGGCTGGAGTGGATTATTTTGATACGTTTGCGCCGGTTGCTAGACCAGACACCGTAAGGCTTTTGATTGCCTTAGCTGCCCAAAGGAAATGGGAGATACTTCATCTAGATGTCAAGTCAGCCTTTCTTAATGGTTGGTTTGAGGAGGAGATTTATGTGCAACAACCTGAGGGGTTTGTCGTCCATGGAAAAGAGGAAAAGGTGTACAAGTTGCGAAAGGCTCTATGTGGGTTGAAACAAGCGCCAAGAGCGTGGTATAGCCGAATTGATTCTTGGTTTGAGGGTCAAGGATTTAGGAGGAGTATGAATGATGCAACGTTGTACGTGAAAGGCAAAGGTGGAGGAACCTTAATTGTCTCACTTTATGTGGATGACTTGTTAATAACGGGCAATGAAAAGAAGGAAATTCAAGACTTCAAACGAAGCTTGATGAAGGAATTTGAGATGAGTGACTTGGGAAGAATGAACTACTTCTTAGGTCTAGAGGTGAACCAAGTGGAAGATGGTTTTTTCATATGTCAAAAGAAGTATGCTCAAGGAATTCTTGAGAAATTTAAAATGGAGTATAGCAAACCTACAGCAACTCCTCTGGTATTGAACTTAAAACTCATGAAAGCTGATGGGAAGAAAAAGGCTAATGGTAGAAGCTATAGAAGCTTGGTTGGGAGCTTAATGTACTTGACGGCAACGAGACCGGATATAGTATTTGCAACTAATATTTTATCTAGATTTATGCAGGAACCAAGCGAAGAACACCTCACTGCTGGGAAGAGAGTTCTAAGGTACCTAAAAGGAACCAAGGACCATGGAGTATGGTTCAAAAGAATTAAGGAGGAGAGGCTAAAAGGATTTGTTGATAGCGACTGGGCTGGAAGTGTTGACGATATGAAAAGCACTACTGGATACTGCTTTACACTTGGTTCTGAAGTATTCTGTTGGAGCTCAAAGAAACAAGAGATTGTGGCGCAAAGCACGGCAGAAGCCGAATATGTCGCCGCAGCAGCTGCCACTAATCAAGCAATTTGGATCCGAAAGTTAATGAAAGACTTGGAAGAGGAGCAAATGGATGCAACGGTAATTGCATGTGACAATAAATCCACTATCTCTATTGCAGAAAATCCGGTCCAACATGGAAGAACCAAGCACATCAACATAAAGTACCATGCTGTTCGTGAAGCTGAAAAATCAAAGGAAATCAAGCTGGAGTATTGTTGCTCTGAAGTTCAAGCAGCTGATATCTTCACTAAGATTTTGCCAAAATCAAGATTTGAAATGTTGAAGAACTTGCTTGGGATGGGCACAAAAAAGGTTCAAGGAAGAGTGTTAAAGTGTGAACCTATTTTGGAGAGCTTGAAGTTGTCATTGGCAGAAGTGGGAAGCTACAGCAAAGTGATGAAGGAAAAGGAGATGACCGATCGCTGCAGCGACAGAACTGGTCGCTGCTGCGAGTGCTGAAAAGCAGCGCTTAACGTGAAGAAGAACGACAGCCGCGGCGAGGGAGATGGTGGCCGCGGTGAGCGTTTTGGACCGCAAAAAGTTCCAGCTTTATTCTTTTTCCTGTTTTCTAGTATTCTAGTTTTAGAATAACTCTTATTCATAAGAGATTTGGTTGAGTCAAATTAGGGAAGTAGAACTTGATTAGGAATATTAGTTCATAAGAGTTTTGCTTGTATCTAACTAGGAAAGTAGAATCTGTTTTGAAGTAGAAGTAGTATTTCCTTTGTTGTATAAAAGTAGTTAAACATTAATGAAAAATTATGATAGTTCATTGTTTCCTTCAGTAAAAGTGTTAAAGTTATTGCTTCCAATTCCAACAGCTTCGCAGGGTTACTTTTCGCCTGTGGTTGTTAAATATGCAAGCAATCATCAGGAAAAGCTTAAGGATCTAGTTCTACTCAATCCTCCAGTATGCATCTCCTGAAACTTAACCATTCAGTTGCTGAATTTCCTTCAACAATAACTCATTCTATTAGTTGTGATGCTATTAATTGCATTCAGTAACAACTGAATGATGGTGGATTTTTAGAATGAAGACAACTAACATATGCTCCTTCCTGGTTTACTTAAGCTAACAGAAAAACATGCCAACCTTCCGTCAACCTTGTCCATCTTTAGCAACTTTTTGCTCGGTGAAATTTTTTCCCAGGTGAGCAGATTCCATTATAATTTTATTGAAACATGAGATGTTTGTATGTGTGTGTGCACAAGTTTGTTTGTGTTTCAAGCACATGTACTTATTTCACTGTCAATTTACTTGTCCTCGAGTACAACTATTGATATCCTTAATGACTTTCTTCTGTGCCTAAATAGGATCCACTAAGGGCCAGTGATAAAGCCTTGACGAGCTCCGGTCCTTATAAAATGAAAGAAGATGATGCAATGGTTTATAGAAGACCTTATCTCACTTCTGGTTCTGCAGGGTTCGCATTGAATGCCATTAGTCGAGTGATGAAGAAGGAGCTAAAGGTGAATCTAATTTATTTTCTGCTAATTTTCTCTACTTATCGATTATTTATTCACCCTTTGTGTTTCGTAAGATTACTTGCTAGAGGTTTTTCTGTTGACTTTATTCTGTGGATTCTTTACCTCACAGAAATATGTGAAAGAAACCCAGACAATACTCATGGATAAAAGTTGGAAAGTTCAAACAACAATATGCTGGGGTCAGAGAGTCCGTTGGTTGAACTACGATGGAGTCGAAGATTTATGCAAGGATTCAAATCATAAGCTAATCGAACTTCCAATGGTATAAACTGCAATCTCTACTTCATTTAAAGATATTGGAGAAAGTTTTAGTCGTTAAGGTCTTCTATGATGCTGGCAAAAAATGCACTAATGTCATATGTTGCATTGTGCAAGCAAGGCATCATGTACAAGAAGATTGCGGCAAAGAAATTGGACAAATTATTTCTGCAGTTTTTAGCAAAAGGAGATGAAATAAAAATATTCTATTCTATAGGTGTTTATGGGTAACTCATTCTACCAAATTTAATTTGAATTTCTTTGACATTAAACTAAGTCAAGAGATATATGAATTGTATCAGACTCTCTCTCTTTCATTTTTCATTTTATCTTGAGATTGATCAATCTTGTTGGGTATCACAAAATATTGCGACATGAAAGTTCAATGAAGACTCGATATTTCCATTCATAATGAATAAATTGTCTAGCCCTTGCAAAATGAATCGGGCTATAGTTATACAAGATTTGATAGAATAAAAGTGTTGAAACTGGTGATATTTTGCTAGAAATACAGAAAATTCAATTAACATTTTGAAAAACTTTTCTGGCCCCAAAAGCTTCACGTTTACTGTTTTGGTTGTAGTTGGTGGAGCTGTTGTCCTAATGCATTTTGTGATATGTTTAGCTGAGCTTAACTGTAATTAAGACTTGTATTTGAAAGACATAGTTGCATTAGTTGTAAGTGTTTAGTTTAGATTCAAATTTGTAAAATATCCACTGCATTAGGTGAAAATAATGGAATGACTTTGTGTATAAATTACCCTTGTTTTTTGAATGCAAAACAGAACACTAATTGCTGTAGCCATCTCTCTCTACTCTCTAGCAAAACCAACAATTGGTATCAGAGCCGTCATTGATCTTAAAGGGCCTGAAACACTCATCTCCTCATATCCATCTTCTCAACCCCTTTCATGATAACTTCAGTATCAAACTCTAGACAACCTGATTCAATGGCACAACATATGACTTCTCTTACTCCTCTAGTCTTCAATGGTGAACAATACCACATGTGGGCTGTTAACATGAACGCATTCCTTCGAGGCCAAGGCTTGTGGCAATATGTAGAAGAAAATAGGCAACCAACACAGTTGGGACCAAAACTCACCTTGAATAAGATCAGGATACATGAAGAAGAAGCTGCCAAGGCTTCGAAAGCTTTGTCTCACATCCATGCAGCTGTAATAGTTCTTGTATTTACAAGGATTATGGCGTGTGAAACACCAAAAGAAGCTTGGGATAAGTTGAGAGAGGAGTTCATGGGAAGTGACACAACAAGAGGTATGCAAGTGTTGAACTTGAGAAGGGAGTTCGAAATGTTGAGAATGCCAGAATTTGAGAAGGTAAAGGAGTATGTTGACAGGTTGATGAGTATAGTCAACAAGATTAGGCTGCTTGGAGTGGAGTTGATAGATAGCAGGATTGTTGAGAAGGTTTTGGAGAGCTTGCCCGAAAGGTTTGAGTCCAAAATCTCTTCTCTTGAGGGCTCGAAGGACTTGTCTCAGATCACTCTCACTGAGCCAGTCCATGCTTTACAAGCTCAAGAGCAAAGGAGACTCCCAAGACAAGAAGATGTAAGTAAAGGTGCTTTGATGGTAGGTCACAAAGGAAAGTTTATGCAGGGAGGTAGTAAGAAGAATGTTGGAGACAATAAGGGGAAGGAAATGGCCAAAAATCAGTGGAACAAATTAGGTTGGATGAAGGATTATCCACCTTGCTCTCACTGTAAGAAGAAGAGCCATTTCAAGGAAAGGTATTGGTTTAGGCTAGGAATCTAATGTCTGGCCTACAAGTAGTTTGGCCACATTAAGAGAGTCTGCAAAAACAAAGGAGAATCATCCCAACAGCAAGCACAAATCATTGAGGATCAGCAGCAAAGCCAAGAATCTGAGTTTACAATGAGACCTAGTTGGTTGATATTAGCTGCACCAACCACATGACATCAAACTTGCAAGGTTTCATCTGCTTGGATAAGACATACCAGTCTAGAGTCAAGATTTGGAATGGAGAGTTTGTGGATGTCAAGGGTAGAGGTGATGTAGCTGTGCAAACTCAATCAGGTACCACGCTGATTCCTAATGTCCCTTATGTTCCAGAAAAAAGCCAAAGCTTGCTTAGTGTAAGACAAATGTTAGAAAGAAAATATGTCTTGCATTTCCAAGAACAGACCTTCAAAATTCTAGACAGTGAGGGCTATGAACTTATGAAGTTTAGGATGAAGGGAAAAAGCTTCTCTATTGAATGGAAAAAATCAGAATTTAGAGCTCATAGTGCTAAGGTAGATGAATTTAAACTATGGCATAAAAGGTTTGGCAATTTTCATTACCATGGCCTCAAAGAAATTCGGACCAAAAGGTTGGTCCATAATCTGCATGAGATTGAAGAAACCAAGGCTGTATGCCTTGCTTGTCAACTTGGCAAGTTGAGCAGGTAGCCCTTTCCTATGAACAAAGCTTGGAGAGCTGTTGAGAAACTCCACCTCATCTACAAAGATGTATGTGGATCTATGCAAACACCTTTATTGAATGGGAGAAAATATTTTGTCTTATTCATGGATGATTGATCTAGGATGTGTTGGGTGTATTTCTTGAAACAAAAGAATGAAGTGGCTACTGTGTTTGGGAGGTTTAAGCTGCAAGTTGAAAACCAAACTGGTTTAAGCATTAAAACCATGAGGAGTGACAATGGGACTGAGCATACTTTAAGTGAGTTTGAAATAATCTGCAAAGAAGTTGGAATTAAGCATCAATTCAGCAGTCCCTATACTCCATAACAGAATGGAGTTAGTGAGAGGAAGAATAGGACTATTATGGAGATGGCAAGATGCATCGTTGTTGAGAAGAGATTGCCGAAATCCTTTTGGGCAGAGGCTACCAACACTGCAATCTATCTACTCAATAGGCTTCCCACAAAAGCCTTGATCAACCAAACTCTATTTAAAGCCTGGTATGGAGTAAAGCTAGATGCGGATAATCTAAGAGTTTTGGGGAACATTTGTTATGCTCTTGTTCTAGCAATCAAGAGGAGCAAGTTGGATGACAAAGCTATGATAGGGATCTTCACTGGATATAGCAATCAATCTAAGGCCTATAGAGTGGATGTTCTAGAAACCAAGAAGATACACATCACAAGGGTTGTTAAAGTTGATGAGAAGGGTGTCTAGAATTGGGAGGAAGACAAAGTTGATGAAGAAGCAAGACCATGGCTAACAGAAGTTGCAGGGAACCAAAATGATGAAGAAGATGAGAATGATGCAGATGAAGAGTTCTCAATTAGAGGCACCAAACTTTTAGCTGAGGTGTATTAGAGGTGCAACATGGCTGTACTTGAACCAACAAACTTCTCTGAAGTAGCAAAATCAGAGGCTTGGAGAGTTTTCATGAAGGAGGAGTTAGCAATGATAGAGAAGAGTCAGACTTGGAAGCTTGTGGACACTAGAGAATAGAAAAGTAATCCAAATCAAGTGGATTTTCAAGAAGAAGCTTAATCTGGACGATTCAGTTCATAAGCATAAAGCTAGGCTGGTTGTCAAAGGTTTTGCTCAACAATATGGAGTTGATTTTTAGGACACCTTTGCACTATAGCTAGGTATGACATAATTAGGTTGCTACTTGCTTTGGCAGCTCAATTTGGCTAGAAAAATTTTCAATTGAATGTCAAATCTGCATTCTTAAATGGTTGGCTCAATGAAGAGATTTATGTTGAGTAACCGGAAGGGTATCAAGTTGAGGGCCTGGAGAATAAAGTTTATATCCTAAGGAAGGCATTATATGGCCTAAAATAGGCTCATAGAGCACTGGTACGACAGAATCAATGACTATTTGATTAGTTTGGGATATGTGAGGAGTCCGAATGAGCACACCTTGTATGTGAGAGAGCTGGAAGGGAATTGGTCATTGTCTCATTGTATGTAGATGACCTACTAATCACTGGAAGCAGTTAAGTCAACATGATGAGTTTAAGGAAACCATGCATATTGAATTCGAAATAACTGACTTGGGGGAAATGTTCTACTTCCTTTGTATGGAAATCAATCAAGCTTCATGTGGGATATTTGTCAACTGGTTGCAAATCAGAAGGTGGGGCTATCAAGGTAGATGAGGGATTATATAGAATCTTGATAGGTTGTTTGCTGTACTTAATAGCAACCATACCTGATCTTATGTTTGCAACCAGTCTTCTCTCCCGGTTTATGAGCAACCCGAGTGAAATTCACCTTAGGGCAGCCAAGAAGGTGCTGAGATACATCAAAGGCAACTCTGAATCTAGTGTGTGCTTTAAAAGGTCTGAAGATTTTTGGCTTGTTGGATACTCTAATAGTGATTAGGTTGGATCAGTTGATGATATGAGAAGTACATCTGAGTATGTGTTCTTCTTGAATTCTAGAGCTATTTGTTGGCTATCCAAAAAGCAAGTAGCTCAGTCCATAGCAAAAGTATAATACATCTCTGCTGCTACTGTCGTGAACCAAGCCATTTGGCTAAGAAAAATTTTAGAAGATTTGAAGCAAAAACAGAGGAATCCTACTGTGATTCTAAGTGATAATCAGTTTGTAGTTGCAATGACTAAAAATCTTGTCTTACATGGTCGAACTAAGCATGTCAAGATCAAATTTCATGCTGTAAGGGAGGCTGAATGTAATGGACGAGTTCAGATGGTCCATTGCAAGGGTGAAGATCAAGTGGTAGACATCATGACCAAAGCTTTGTCCAAAGCCAAGTTTGAAGATTTAAGGCTCACACTTGGTTTTTCCAGCAAAAATATCAAGGAGGAGTGTTGAAGCTGGTGATATTTTCCTCGAAATGCAGAAAATTTAGTTAACATTTTGAAAAACTTTTTTGGTGCCAAAGGTTCAAGTTTGCTGTTCTAGTTGCAGTTGGTGGAGTTGTTGTCCCGATGCATTTTGTGATGTAATTTGTGATATGTTTAGTTGAGTTCAGCTATGATTAAGACTTGCTATAGATTGTTGTAGATAATCATGCAAAATCTTACAGATATTACATGATTAAGTGAATAAATCTATAATAGGATATTAGGATTGTAATCAATACATAATCGGAACAAATCTATAAAATAGGAAGTTAGATTTTTTATTTCCTAGATTAGTTCTTTATTTTCCTATATATTGATGTATAATTTGTCAATGCAATACAAGAGAAAATTACAATCAGTTCTCTGTTTGTAACAAGACTTATATTTGAAAGACATGTACTTGCATTAGTTTTAAGTGTTTAGTTTAAGTTCAAATTTGTAAAATATCTACTGCATTAGTAATAAGAGCTTGAAAGTATATATTTTGTG